GCAAGAAATATTTTGGAAACAACACACACAGTAAGATCTTTTTCATGTCTGAGGACTTAGCTTCACCTGTTCCTCCACTTCCTTTCTCCCCTCTTTTTTTTCCCCTTAGAAAGAAGCAAGAATTTTATTCAAGACAACAGCATAGTTCAGCATGAACAATGAAATAAAGCTGTACCCTCGTTTGACATGTTAATTACTTGCATCATTTCCACTACTGCATTCCATACTGTATCTACCAATACTGCAAGAACAAGTTACACCCAGCAGTGTTACCATCAATGCAAAACTCTACTGGGAATAACCCCATACATCCTCAGTCTGGGTCCTCAGAACTTGCTATGAAATGGACTTCTGTATGAACTACAAACAGTACTTAGAGCATCACAGGGCTTCAGGCATAGGTATTTTCTTGTTTTGTTTCTTCTTCTCATGACACTGAGAAACACAACACTAAACAGGAAAAAAAAAGTTTATTTAGGTTAGAACTGCTGAATTAAAAAAAAAAAATGAAGCAGCATACACTTATTTAGGGACTAGGAATTAGAAACTCTGCTCTACAGGAGCAAAAAGCTGAGCCCCCACCACCTGCTTTGAGAAGCTGAAGAGAGATCAAACAGTTTGAAGCAGAGAACCTGACACAGTAATTCACAAACTGAAAGCCGTTCTCTTCTGAGAACAGAAAACAGCTGGAGGAGATGCTGTCAAGTTTTGGTGAGCACTGGTGAGAGATGATGACACCATATCTGACATCAGGATCCCCATGCACAAGAGCCAGTAAAAGGGTTAGGCAGGAGCCAAGGTTTAACCCCAGCCAGCAAGTACGTACCACACAGGTGCTCACTCACCTCCACCCCTCCTCCAGCAGAGGAGGAGAAGCAGAGGAAAACACAAGGAAACACGTTAAAACAAATGATACAATTGCTTACCACCTGCCGAGCAATGCCCAGCCAGGTCCTGAGTAGTGAGAGCCAGAGAGCCTGAGAGAGAGATCGCACCAGAACCAGAGCGAGCCTGAGCAAGAGCCAACGAGAAAGCCAACCCACATGGCCCCCAGCCCACCCCCGACTTACATACTGAGCATGACGTATTATGGAATGAAATACCCCCTGGGTCAGCTGTCCCAGCTTCTTGCAGAGAAGAAGCTGAGAACACACGTAGCACCAGAAACTGAGAAAATCCTTGACTTGGTACAAACACTCCTGAGCAACAAGTGTGTTACCAATACTGAGCGCAAATCCAAAACACAGCCCCATACAGCTCCTGGGGAGAAAACTGACTCTCCCCCAACTCCCGCCAGCACAGCACGACACCTCACCTGGAGCACTGATGAGAATTTCGCACTCTTAGGCCTTGTTCACAGTCAAGCAGACAAGAAGGGGAAAAAGAGTCCTCATTTTTCAGAGTAACTTTACAGCAGGATCTTGTGAATGGCTCTTTTCTTTCTTGCTTGTGTACAAGCGCCTGAAAGGAAGCAGTGTTAAAAAACAATAAATCATAGTCTTAATGTGGCTAATTTGCAAATGTCCCTGACTCCTTTTAAGTAGAAAAATGCTAGAGTTTGATTAATGGCAAGTAGTTTGGGTATTTTTTAAAAGAAATCTGAGTATTAGCTAGCTAGAGTATAAAACATGTCAAATTGAAACAAAAATTTAAATTATGTGAGCCGAAGTGTGTTGGGGTCATAGCTATTCTGAACAGAAGTACCTGTACCTGTATGTGCTTGCCCATTTGGAGACTTCAGCCCACTCAGTTTTGTAGAAAATTCTCCTTAAATCTTCGTATTTATTCATCAGCGAACAGTGTTCCTAAAAAGCTGGGTTAAAAAATGAAATGTAAGAATCAAAATACTGTTCATGGCTTAGGCCGGAATTTTTTGGCAGTAATGAATGTTGTAATTTACTGACACCACTAGAGTTCTAATGCATTTCAAGATCCTTCCCTTGTGCATACCGTCAATATTTTCAAAGACCTCTCTCACATATATTTAATTGCTAAAAGCTAGAAAAGGTTTTCTCCTAAAATACGAGTTTTCCTCAGGGAAGCATTAGCTGAAAATTACCTTTGTCATCAGAAGTCCTTCCTATATCTTTCAACAGATAAATTTAATCTTACAAATTATTAAAGTGATTAAGATTTTCTTCCTGGTTAGTTATGGAAGACTATTATCTTTATTTCTCTTCCCTCTAAATGGGACAAAGAAACAGTACTGTCTGTTTATGTAACATTAGGGTCCACACAGATAAGACAGGAGAGTTATTTTGTAAACTCCTGTAGCTACACTAGGCTACAGAGGAGAATAATGATACACCAGGATAACCCTGATGTTCTGACAACATACAGATGTAAAACCCAAAATGCTGGGTCAACTACAGCAGCGTAAATCCCACCTGACACTGACACGGCTCAGCGATGTTGAAGATAATTGCAGGTGTCACAGAAACAGATCAGAAACTCTATACAACTGAAAGTTACTAACTTCCACTTCAGAAGTGATTTCGTATAATGCTACACTGCATTATGCTGAACATGTACACCAGGCACACCCATCTCACCCAGCCTAAACGAAGGCATTAAGAAGCAGACATTCATTTTGATGGTGTATCAGTGTCGCACGCAGCGATAAATGAAAGATATATTACTAAACAACACTGCAGAAATCATTTACTCAGAGACGGACTGTAACAAACAAGACAGGACCCTGTTAATAGTTTCATGTAATTACCATAACCAGACACTAAAAAGTTCTAAGGAGTGCGAGAAATTAGGCACCAACACGGTGCCTAGATCATCTGTTCCTTGGGAATAGTTCCACTGAAAAGTAGTTCTAGCTATAGTACAATGCACAGACTAAGAAGACTGGATTATAAAATTACAAGACAAGATTTTTCCCTTTTTTAAAAGTCTGAGGTTTCTAATAGACCTGCTAAAACAAAAACAACCAAACCAAACAAACAAAAAACCCCAACAAAAACAAACAACACCCCCAAAAAACTATTAGGGATTCTGCAGGACTTCCAAATCAAAAAGAAACAGGGGAGAAGATGAGAACAGAGCTCCTACTCCTGTGCATTTTTACCACCTGTGTACAGATTTGAGGAAGCAGAAGCTCAGGAAGGATGATCACGGTCTGAAGACAAAACTCAGACCGGAATAAATAAGAAGGAAAACACTGAATCATCCAAGTGCAACGACAGGTTAAAACAAGAAGGCACCTGACAACCAGGAGACAACTCACCTTCAGGAGAAGCGTCGTTGCCCTGTATGAAATACATGAAAAATGGCAATAGGGAGTGCTGCGTACATGAAGATTTCATTAACACGCAGAGTCCTAAAAAGAAAGATTCAAGAGGTACTGCACTGCCACCACACCTGCCCTGGAACATAGGATGCATCATTACCTCAAATCAAGCCAACTTTTGGACCAGAAGCTAGTCTGCATACTCCTTGATAACCGTAACTACTGAAGGCCTGGAATATCAGCTTATTTTGTTTTCAAGACAACAGAACTACAGGAAATTGATTCCCAGAAAAATGACACAACAGTAAAGTGTGGCCGTCGCAGGGCTGGGGTGGGGAAGGGAGTGTTACATCCTTAGCTTCATTTTTTTTTTTTAGGTCTTAAGAGTAATTTCAGTTGTAGAGCTTAACACTGAAACTTAACTTTTGCTGCTGAGAGACACATGTTTAATCCTTAGACAGCATTATTTTCACATACTGAGGCTGACATCATGGGTAGTCAAAGAATATGTTTAATAAAAAATAATTAAACTTCCATTTGCTCTATAGAACATCATAGAAAGTAATTCAATAAATTACAAATGACTTTTTAAGACGCTTGTTCAACTACAGAAAGCAAATTCAGACTACACAGAACACAACTGGCAAATATTGCAAATGTCCAAAAAAACCCTGGACTAAGACTTGGATCATGAAGCCTGAAACAAGGGATAGAAATACAAGGCAATAACAGCTAAGATTCCTTTAGTAACTACCAACACACACTTTATCATCACCTTGGGTATCCTTTTAGTTTTAACTTCAGTATTAGTGTAATTCTACTGAGGTTTCCTTATAACCCTTAACTTTATACAACCGTATTTGCATATAGTTTAGCTGATAGTGGGACATTTTTTCCCCTTCTGGTTCAAACCGATTAAAAATAAACCCAATATAGTATGTTCAAGTCTACACCAGCCTTCATTACTTGAAACTGTAATTGCCTTATTACATAGAAAGAATCACTAGAATGGTAACCAAACTCACTTGACCGTAATTAGGAAAATACTTTATTTCATAAATCTGATATAAATTAGGTTTTAGCCACAAGATTTAGTATTTGTTTTGTGGGGTAAGGGTGGGAAGTGATGGTATTGTTGACATACTCCATCAGCAAACGAAGTAAATGACTGTTTGTGAAACTTTGGCTATTTCATAGATGCATCCTAGTTAAATAAAAGTGCTATATTACAAAGGGCAAAATATTAAATACTTTATTCTTTTCATGGTGAAGAATTGCTACCCCCTTCTCTTGGCAGTTTTTAATTTTCACTATTGCTAAGACACTGCATGAAGGGCCAAAACTCAGAACACTATTTGGGAAAATACGTAACCAGCACAATCCAAATGGTACTTGTATAATTGTGTAATTACATGTAATACTGCTTCTAATCATGGGGCTAGTTATTTTGCACATAGAAACTTATATTTCATTGGTAAAGTTCTTGATAAAAAACAACACAGTTGTTTTACTGTACAAGCAAGCAACAGAACTATATCAAAATATACAGTTTTTGTTTTTTTATTTTTAAATGTATCCCTTTGTAAAGCTTTTTCCAATGACTTCTACTAGTACCTGTATCTACTTTCTCTTAACACCTGCCTATTCTTGGACCGCAAATGATGTAACCAAGGACAATTGAAGTCTCAGTCAGTTCAGAACTTCGGAAAATGTGGATCTGGGCCTCGACTGTGTCAGAGTAATAGCAGCTTAAGAAGGAGGAATCGTATCACACATCAAATATTAGATTTTATATAGTAAAGGGTTCTAAGGATTTGGACTTAAACAGATGCCTTATGCCCTGTTACTGTGGTTTCTAGGAATAATTTGTCTTCCTTACTATTCAAAGTGCTTTTTCTTTAGTGGGTAACTCAGCATAATATATGAAATGATATCCCAATCATGATTTTGGGTAATATTTAATATTTAGTCAGATTTAAATCTGCAGAGAAGTTTAAACTCAAAAGGAGTTCAAAACTATCTGTACTTTATTGATTGTTATTAACTGATAACTCCAGGAGGTTTTATGACATAAAACACAAATAGAATTCTACACAAACAAAGCAAACAAACAATTTTTACATGAAGTATGCAGTGTTGAAAGGTCTTTTCAGTGGCACTTTATGACAGTTTGCCTCTTCTGAGTCTTGGGGAAACTACTCCTCATTTCGGGACTTTTAATTCTGCAGAGGGAGCCCAAAACTTTGCAAGGTGTAAACTAAATAGATCTACGTGGTGCCAAGTAGCACGAGATAAGACAGTTTTGCTTTTATTTCCCCTGACTGCTGTCCAAGAGAACAGTTATAATAAGGGGGAGAGAAAAAACCCAACAGTCATATCTCAAGTAACTCAGATTTTAACATGATATACAGGATGTCTTTTGAAAACAAAACAAAACCTGAAAACAAGTAATAGAAACCAATGTAAACTTCCTAAACTAACTCAGCTGAGGTAACAGGTAGCCAGTTTAATTGGCTGATTGGGAAAAATTTATCTTCTTTTAAACACACTTGTACCTGAATTGGAAACAGCAGTGCATCACAACACTAGAGCATTTTCATGTAATTAAAGCAATGGATGGTGATGTAGATTCTACAGCTTTCATGACATTCATTAGCTGCCCAAATTATTGCTGAGTTTTGATCTGTAAATTATAAGTGTCAAGGAGGCTGTAAAACTATATTCAAATTAAATCAATAATATGCATAAAGTATTCTGTGTTCACTGCAAATATATTAAATATACAGCTCTTACTTGAGCATTATTTTCATAAAATTAACCCCCCAACAAAATTATAATGCCTTTTGTTGTAATTTTACACCATTGTGTATTTGATAGTACATACAAGTTCAGAAACTTATGAACTTCAAGAAATATTACATGCAAAACGTCTCTGAAAGCAGTTTGCACTTCTAAACAAATACTGAAATGTTCGGTCAGTAAATCATTGATGCACTCAACACTGGGTTATTTACAATGACATAATTAAAGAATAAATTCAAAACCAGTTTATAATTTAAGTGCAGAGTCTGGGGTCAGTCTTCATTGCTAGAATCTGAATCCTCAGATGAAGACGATGTACTTTCGGATCCAGATGAAGCATCTGCTTTCTCTGAACCCTCATCTGTGCTGTTTTCGTTGTGAGAGCTTGGCTCTGTTCCCCCTTTGTCCTCCCGATCTCTAACCCTAGAATTTTCCTCCTTTTCTTCTGTGGGCTTGGCTGAGCCTGTGTCATTGCTTTCACTGTTCTGTACATCAAAAATACTCGACTGAGACAAAGCTGGGATATGAAGATTAAGGCCTGGAGTGAGAAGCATCCCTGGGTAAAGTATGTTGGACAAAAGTAATGGGTTAAGAGAGAGAGGATTGGCAGCTGCAGCAGCAGAGGACGTCGAAGGAGAACTTGAAACAGAGTTTTCACCACCAGTATCTGTATTTTGGTCTTCTGTCCTTTCTTTCTTTCTATCTGCCTCCTTTGAATCACTTCCCTTTTTTTCCTCTGAAACAGATTCTGTAGACTTTGTCAGAAGTCCTCCCATGCCCAGCAAGTTTGGTAATCCAGCCATCCCTGACAGCAGCATGGGGAACATGGCAGCCACGTTCTTCGCTTCTCCTCCAGCAGCTAGGCCAGCTGGCATGCCCATTAGTCCTGCCGTTACTTGCAGCGACTGCAGGTTTTGCAGGTTTTGTTGTAAGGCCTGAAGCCTCGGCAGATCCACTCCTGGAAGCAGCCCGTTAGGCAGCAGAGGGTTAACTGATATGCTTGCACTGCAGCTGCCGTTGCCTTAGCAATCTCACTTTTGGGGCGTCTTCCTCTCCGGCTGACTTCTTCCCGCACAACAGGTCCAGTGAGAATACGGTCAAACATACCTTCTGGAAGGAATCCCTGCAAGAGAGACAGTGGCTATTTTAGGATTTTGAGAGCTTAAAGAAAGATGGAAAAGTAAGAGCAAAGAGAAGACCAAAGCGTACAGTAACCGGCGTCAAAGATTACCCTGGTGTGTGATCTCCAGCCAGCTCACTGGTGTTTGTGGTGACCTTGTGCTATCGCACCTCAAATGTCTCAAGGCCCATTTCCACAGTGAGGTTTACACAGGTATCTTCTCACACCCCCTGCTAACTCATCCTCGGAGCTGTTAGCAAGTCAAACCCAATACAGCTAATCATAAGAGCAATCTCCATTTAAGATCTAAACCAGCACTGCTTTGCAATATTTCCACATCCCTATCATGTGACAGTTTAATTAACTAAATTAGTTACTCAATTGAAAGTTAAAAATAAATGTGTGATTGCACAGACCAACAATCTCTGAGCCCTTTTTATTATAGCTACGGTCTGTTTAACATCCTCATATTTCACCTCATCCATAAATTCAAGAACAAACAGGAAAGACTCAAGTTCAATTAAAATGAAATTCAGAGCACTTCTTTTTAGGGTCTGCACAGTATTATTTCACCTCTGTAAGGCCTCCTACCTAATGATGAAGAAAGGCTAGCAATGGATACTAATATTATTCTCTCAGAAATGCATTGCCTTGAAAATTCCTCTTAAAAATGGCAAACACAGGATGGACTATTGCTCACCTCCATACTACAACAGCCTTTTTTCCCCAGCAAATATCACTAATTTAAACTAGCCTAACACAACTAGAGGAATTCAGAACTCATGCTCTGCTCTCCCATCCTATAGATCACTACTCAATTCTACAAGCAATTCTGCATCTATTTATACCTTCACTCACCGCAGTCTAATCCTGTTCTCATTACCTGTTTTTCTACCAGAACATCCCACAAGGGTACGGGAGAGGTTGTCATTTAGAACTTCCCAGAAGGATTACAATTTCTATTGATAGTGAACTAACTTGGTCATTCCTTTGCCCGAGTCTGATGGTGTAGCGTAAATACAATGTACTTCTGACAAGTTATAGTAGGTGAGGAAAGAGACTTCACAAGAATATTGACAAAACAATCCTCACTTCTGTTTGACACAAGGAATGGAAGAGCAAATGGGTGACCCAGAAAGCATTCTCATCACACAACGCCCTTTTTTTCAAGTTCAAAAGATGTCCTTATCTTCAAGGCAAACAGGGAACAAACTCAGAACCGTACAACATACTTGAACCAATGACACTTAAAAGGAAAGAGACCAGCGATTTAATAGTTCTTGTAATGAAAATGGATACCTGCTGTTTTGTTGGAACTGTGCACAGAATCTAGCAAAAAACTTTATTCTTTTAAATTTAACCAAGTACAAACATCAAACAAAACAAAAAAGGGCCTGCAGTGACAGGACAAGGGGTAACAGGTTTAAATGGAAAGTGGGGAGGTTTAGATTGGATATCAGGAAGAAATTCTTCCCAGAGAGGGTGGTGAGGCACTGGGAACAGGCTGCCCAGAGAAGCTGTGGATGCCCCATCCCTGGAAGTGTTCAAGACCAAGCTGGATGAGGCTTGGAGCAACCTGGTCTAGTGGAAGGTGTCCCTGCCCACGGCAGGGGGGTTGGAACTAGATGGTCTTTAACGTCCCTTCCAAACAAAAAAATTCTGTGGTTCTATGAAAACCTCAGACTCACTCAATGAAGCGAGAATGTTGCAGTATTATAGCACCTTCAACCAAAATCTCTAATTTGGGCTGGCCATCCCTCCCTTCCTCCTACTCACAGCTGTGCCAGCAAACCACTTCAAGGAACTGAGCTGGCAGAAAAAAAGGTAACATTGACTCACATTCCACATTTAATATGATACCAGAAATTAAAAGCATGCCTTTGGGCATGTTTTTTTATTCTCCTGTTTGCCATGTTTAAAATATATTTCATATCACGGTTATCTTATTCAGCAGATACTCACAGACTGTTTTACAACTTCTCCCCATTCAGGAGCCACTCCATACTCTGGATTTTCTTTCAAGAACCTGCACAAATCCTTCAGAGGGGGAGCAAATGCACCCCCCACCTGAGAAGCAGAAGGAGAGTCAGGAAATATTTTTCATTTCATAAGAAAAAGGCAACATTCATAACGGACACCACTTCATTTTTGTCTTTTATATAAAACCAACAAATAAACTTCACTTTAAATTATCAAAGAGTATGACACAGCTTTTGATTGATTCCTGGTGGTATATTTGAGATACTCTTGATTTGTTCCAGATCTACTGTACTCAAATTCATACTTTGCAACTGGAATATCTGACATTTCTAATGTTTAATATCAGAGTTTATTTAGACATGCAATGAATGGAAGAGCAACCGCATGAATAGAGAACAACAGCAGTGCATGAATTACTAAGAAGGTCATAACTACAGTCCTCACATACTTTTCCTTTATCCACTGAATCAGTCCTATCCTATCGCCTCAGTCAACTTCTAAAAAAATACTTCCATTAAGAGGCCCTACTTTGCTTGTGAAAATTTTCTCGTGAAAAAAGCCAAGTTAAGATGCATATCTTAATAAAATCTTATAAGCAGAGAAGTAAGCTTTCAAATTAATCAGAAGTATTACTCAGATACAGAAAGAAAGAAAGAATAAACGGTAGGAAGAAGAAGAAAGGAAAAAGAATTCCAGTTTCTACTCAACCTTCTCTATAAAATGCACATTTTCTAGGCTGCTTTTGGTCTCCTCACCCCCTGCTACTAAATTATTAACTGAACTAAAAGAAAATAAGACGAAATGAGTTTGGTGATGCAGAGAAGTTGGGAACAGGTTATAAATGGGGAAACTGAGGTTAATACCGTAACAGAACAGAGCCTCAGCTATGGTGTGGAAATTTTTTAGAGAAAAAACCCCATTATGAATACACAGGCTTTTACAGCAAACACAGCTCAAATCTCTATCTCCTTGATCATCAACTCTGAAACGAATCCTAAGGGCACAGCTTACTATGGAGCAGCCAAGGGCCTGTTTTTCTAGAGACTAGCAACCATACAGGTTCCTCTTTAGAGCTGCTGCCTCAATGCATTGAAGAGATTAAAGACACTCAAATTCTGTCTCGCTCTCCTCTACAGCTGCACAAAGCTTCTGACCTTAATACAGCAGCATAAAAACATTTCCTGCTTTCCTTGCAGCTGCTCTCTAACAAAAGGAAAAGCTAGCAGTGTCACAAAATCAAGCGCTCCACACACTGACAGAGCACCACAGAGACTCCCACTGGACTGCTGATCTGGTACCACACTGACCTTCAAAGTCACCCTCCCACCCAGCTGTCTGCATGTGTTCAGTCCACAACAGTCATGTTCTGCGTGCTTTTCCTGAATACTGCCTTCTAGCCTTCCCCAGAGCCTATTCAAACGCATTATACCTTTTCCAAACCCTGATCACCTGGCCAAAAACTGATCATCTGGTCTTCCATCTTCCACTGTTAGAATTTTATACAAGCCCCCTTTTACTTCTGTTCCCGTTACTCTACTGCTTAACTAGTAACAGGGTTTACAATGAGTATAGACTGGTGAACCACAAAGTGCCACAAAGTTCAAATGCCAGAGAGAACTGTAAAACGAAAAAAAGCAAAATAATCTAGTACACAGGATTGAAGCAATTCCAATGGTCAAGTTTCAATGCAGGACGCACCACCGACACAATCCTGATCACGTCAAAAGTAGTAATGAGAAGATGTACACAAAATATAGAACTTATCAGAACGTTGCCACTTTGATCAGAACAACATATGTTTCAGTGGCCATGCCTCTGTATTAGTCAATGGCACTGCAATACACTGAGTGTTCTATCTGAACATAAACCACAGCGTCATTTTCTAGCCATATCTTACAGATTTTCATAGCTGTAAAATGTTTACTACAAGATTGTCATTGACTTTGTTGCTCTGTGGCATAACCATAAAACCATTCATCTGTACGCAGTATTTTAGCAAGCGTTCTTCATTTCAAGTGACTTTTCCTTTGGGGAAGACCAGAATGGGAACAGTATTGTGAATACCTTTCTTGCATTCCTTCTGTTTATGAGCTGGACACGTTCTTCACCTGTCAAACTATTGACGTCCAGTTTATTAGGGTTTCGGCAACGGTGCCTTTTTTGTTTAGGCCTCCCATCGTGCAGCTGCATCCTCTGTTATAAAGGCATTAAACAGCCAATTATCTTTCTGACGTAACTGCTTTAATGGTAAGGTATCTGTGCATTCTCTTGAAGTCATCTTAATTTCAGAAATATTTAAACAACAAAGCTAATTTACTGATCACAATCATACACTAAGCAGCCCAGTAAACAGCACTAATCCCTTTTGATGCCTCTACCCACCGCTTTGTTGTAATAACTTTTCAGCTTTCAACAGTGCTTTAACTGTGCGGAATGTTGCTACTGTTTTGTACTGCAGTATCTTTATGGAGAAATAAAGATACCACAATACAAATTGTTATTATCTTGTTATTCCAGACAGCATACACACGCTTTTCTAACATTTCATTCAACATGAACAAATCTCAGACTCAGAGGTAAGACAGCGAGAACATCACAGCCACACAACCATCACCACCACAGTACTGGAATGTAGATCTTACATACATCCCACAGTATTAATGCCTTTAATCCTCGTGCATGTGACTAAATACGCTGTCACACACTTTCAGCTGCCATCATCAGCACCACAGTAGTGTGAGTTTTCTTATCTTACATAAATTTAAATCCTAGGTGAAATCAGACAAAGATCAAATGTCTTTGTTCAGTACTGCTTTTCTTGGCAAGTATGTTTGTGAGGGAAGGGGAAGGTTTGCAGAGCTCAGATCATGTAAAAAGAAACAACATTTTCCTTTTCCTAAATAAAATAAGAGAACCAAGGAGGAATAATTCCATGTGGCAGAATACCAATCCAAACACACGCCATGAGAAACATTTTACTACTTAGCTAAAGCAGAGCTGAAAGGAATACTCACAGGAATACAAGCTCCCGAATCTTCAACATATCCAGGATGTTCTTGAAGCCACCTTTCTAAATCTTTTCTTTTGGGGGCATCATCACCCGCGAGCCTTGTTCCATCTTTCAGGTTAATAACAGGAACTGGACTCTCCGCATCAAGCATGCCTTGGGACTGCTGCGTGTAAGTGAGTGCTGGGTTTATTCCTGCAGCAACTTGACAGGAGTTAATGCTTGGATTAACCTGGAGAAGTTCAAAACATCTGACTAAGTTCTCCATAGAAAAGAAACCATGACTGTTATTTCACGTATGAGGCAATGAAGGGCACAGTCCCGCAGATAATTATGCGGGTACTCAAGGACTCCACCAGACTACACCTGCACAGATAGCTCGCTTTAAGTCACTGCCCAAGCAGGTGCTGTAACAGATGCTGCAGGAGAGGATGTCAGAAAATGTTGCTAGAACATGTAACAAGTTTTTAATAATACACTGTTAATGGCAGTTCAGCAAGTCTAGAATTAAACTTAAGTTTTTTAAAATAAGTATCAATATTGTATGTATCTAATATGTAATAAAAATCCACTAGTTCTCATTTGTGTAGTCATAAACTGTCAGTGAACAATTCCAGAAAAAGAAACCCCAAACCCAACTGTTTTGAGCAATAATGTTTGTTGTATGCTGACAGGTGGTTATGCTCGCTCAAGAGTAACAGTAATTTGGACCTTATTTTTGGATACAAAATCAAGTTCACTTACGTGATTAGGCTGTTTATTTCTATTTATAAAGAGGACATCGACTCCCTCCACATTCTTCCTTCTTCCTCTTCTCTTTTTGACAACAGGCTGACTGTCAACTATGACTCCATTGGCACTGGCTGTTAAGTGACTGGAAGTACCTAATTAACGATGCAATAAAATTAGTGTCAGATCCTTGAGCCCTTTGTAACAAACATGTCTGAATAAAAAAAGGAAACAAAATCACTTAAAATAGTGCAAGTGCATATAATTTCAACGTGTACTATCTAACAGAAATTCCCTATTGTTTTATGACTGTTTATAACATTATTAATATCAGAAAAGCCACTCTACTGTGAAAGTTTCCTGTTACTGCCACTTGCCCCCTCCAAATAAATCTGTACAGGGAGTCCTGTTGAAAACTGCTGACATCCCTAAATAAACGTTTATAACAAGACCTTAATGGTATGTTGCAAAAGAACAGGAAAGTACAAAATACAACTGAAGGGTAGTATTTTTTTAAAGGAAATGTTCTCATCCACGTACACATGCCATCTCAGTGATTTGCAGTCATTTAATCAGAAGCTGGCCTACATCAAAAGGACCCTGTTCTAATAATTGCAGATATTTGAATCCAAATTGTAACTGCTACTTCAGGCTCATTTTTATTTGTCAGTGCACACCTACTTATTTTTTTGAAGAAAGAAAAAAAAAAGGTAAGTTTTTGACTTTAAGCCAAAAATTGGTTCTCACCTATTGTCCTCCACTGTTTCTTTACACGAGACACGGAAAGAACATGGAGAGTACAAACTGACAGAGGCATAAGTCCAGAACATTTCACTGTTACTTACAAACTACCCACAGTATGTTCTGAGTTAAACTGATTCCTGTCAGTCTAGAGCGATGCACTTGATTAAAATCTTCTTGTGGGGGTGTTTATGATGTATAGTGGCATCCTTCTCATAAATGAATGTTACAGTAACTGACAGAGGGAGCAAGTATTCCGGTGGTCCAACCTCATGCCTCCACTTAGGTGCCCAGTCTCCCTAACATACTGGGGAGAATTCTCCCAAACTGCAGTTTAGAGCAACCACCACCACAAAAACATCTCTCCACTGCCTTCACAGGGACATCAACAGAAGAACCCAGAAGACAAGTTTTAATACTAACCCTTATGCCCTCTGACATTTACGTACCTGATTTGGGAAGTGATTTAGGGAAGTTGACAAGGCTGGTTTCTGAAGCATTCTGGAGTTCATGCAGCCGAGCTAGGTATTGCTGCTGTCCCAACACACCTTCCTCGCTTTCAAACGGCCTTTTCTGAGACAGTCCCTGCTTCTGAAAAGTCAATTTCAAACCACCTTCCTGTTAAATAAATGCCAGGGTTAGAAGAGTCTCTTCTGAAGAGGAAATAACTATATCATAATCAGGATTCTCACATACAGTTACTCCAGAAAAGCCAAGGAAGAATGAAAACATGGTATTAGACCTTAAAACAAGTCTTGCTTCTCATCATGTACAAAAGAAATCTGAACAGAAGTTCCACGGAATTGCTTCTATGAATATAAATTTTAAATTATCTACTACCTTAACTGAAAGATCTAGACACTGCTGTCTACATCCCCAATCTAGTCCTAAATAAATATACCCAATTACAAGAGAAAAATTAGCATACATTTTTATGGGCTGTGAACAGGTCTTAAATTACAGATAAGAAGAATGTTTGAAGCTTCTAGCCTGCATTCAAACTGGGAAATCTACCCATAACCGTCTAAAAGGCAGTGAAATAATAATGTGCTTGCTGGATAGGACATGCTGAAATGTTAAAATTGCCAACAAAAAAATTGCCAACAACAGAAATATTTTTTTTTACTAACCAGATTCCTTAGAAACAGCATAAAATGGGCTGTCTGAGGAAGCACCAGAAGAGCAAAATTTCCATTCAGAAAGAAGTAACAAAGATTCCTTCCAGTGGCTTATGCAAATAAGAAAAAAAAGCCAAAACAAACCACACCCAGAAAACCAAACCCAAACCCCAAACACTCAATGCCCAGAAGCAGCAGACCCAAATACCCACAAACAAGTGTGTGAAGGAAGTGAGAGTGAGAGCAGGCAGCCACTTGCAGGTAAAGCATGCCGCACACCGCAATCGCAATCAGGTCCTAGGGCAATAAAAATAAACATACGTCATTGATTTTCACTGTAAACTCCTTTTCTCGTACATGCTTCTTCACCTTTGACATCTGTGGCGATTGCTCGTATTCTTCTTTAACACCTGCAAGGGGGGGTGTTGGTGCGCTGGGCTCACTGTAGTCTGCAGCTGCACCTGGGCTATCCAGAAGTTTGGTTGTGTAGAAAGAAGCCACTGTATTGCTGTCATAGCTCCTTCTGGCTGAAGGCCATTTACCTTTCAACACTGTTTGACAAATGCTGTCAAGTCGATTAATCATAACGCGATCCTAAAAAAACCAAGAGAAAATAATTAGGTAAGGGTAATCCTTACCAACACTGTACACTGTACATTTATGTACTAACTTTAATTCTAAAAAGAGGAGAAATGGCAACTTTTTTAATCACTGGACTAGAAAGTTTTCCAAGTTCCTGAATTTGAACTGATTCCCCATAAAAGTTTCTGAAAGCCACCTCTGTACTTAACTTCCCCACCCGTAAACAAATATGCAATCTCTCGTCTACACAGGGTCTGAGGCCTGCAAATGCTTGACACACATCATGTCACCGATTTCTGAAGGCAAGAGAGAGTAACTGCCAAAGTAGTGTTTGTAGGTCTGGCTCTGACTCACTGGTAGCTGGGTCTGAACCTGTGAGCAGCACCATAGCGAATCTGGCAAACAGCGTTCACAAAATTACATCTACAGACTTCCATTCGCACCTCAGTTTAGCTTCTGAAGCCGTATCATTCCTCACTCCTATTCTTTAGACACCAAACACAAATTTGACTTCACACACCTGCAGAATACATAGTTCTCAAATGCCAATAAACTCAACTCAGTACAAGCAGACTCCAGAAACGACCACATTTCCTGGTAATTTCAGAGTCCAGTTATTAGTCAAATAAAAAATGTGAAGGCTGAAATAACTGGTGCGGTAAGCTGACTTTTTTGCCACATTCAAGAGGCTCTACTACATTTTTAAAAATCTGATCTTGCACACTCTGAATGCCATTTTTCACAATCTGCCAAGCATCTGTGACATGAACGTTATGCTCTCCTCAAAGTGACCATTCAGAAATTATTAAAAAAGTAGTATTTACATTTAAACGAATCTCCCAGGAGCAACTGCAGCCACAATTAAAAACTCCTGAAGTTCAGATCCTACATCTATTTTCCCTGTTTCATCACTCTATCTCGTGCATTGCTTTCCTTTTCAGACTTTCCTCACTGCTTAACCAGGAAGCTCTTCCTTCATTTTCAAGCTTGTGACATGGCTCTGAGTTTTCAAGCTGATTTGCAACACATGCCTGTTCCATAGAAGGAGGTTTTGAATTTGTGCCTTATTAAAATGCCAGTGTAATTTTTTATACAGCATATGCCTAGCAACATACTAAACATGCTAAAACATGCTAACACTTATTTACAAGTGTTGAAAAACATAGGGAAACAAATCTGTCACATCAGTTAACATCACGTGGGCTTTCCTACACTTACAATAAAGGTCACACAATAAAATCTGTAAGTGTAACTGACTATAAAAGCAATTAGATTTTTCAGACTCAGAATATTCAAGTCAGTCTCCTTTTCCTTACACATCAGGAAAGAAACCTATTCAAAAATATATCACAGTCGACGTAGTGAACTTTGAGCAATTTGCAATATTGGTTTCATCTT